ATATATATATATATATTAAGGTGTTGGTGGTCCATGATATTTATTATAGAATCGGGCCTAGTAAGTTTTGTATAAAGCTTATATTCTGTTATTCCCAGGTCAGACATGAAGCTGTCAAGGCTAGTTACAGCAGTGTACTGCATAAGCACTGTATACATATGCTTATGCGATGCTTTTGACTTTTCGTGCCAACTTTTGTTTAGTGAGTATTCTATGAAATAAATAACATATTCGATTTGAATATTCATAAGGATAATTATGACACCATCAGCAACCAATCATCCGGTGGTATATTCAGAGGTTACTTCAAGTCTAAAGATGATTGTACATTTTGTAACAACTGCAACAATAGAAACAATAAAATGTTCATTTTTATTACACATGTTTTGAATAATTATATATCTTTTAGTTGTAAGTTATTTTATTTTTGTTTGCTGCCACTCCACCCCTTTACTCTGCCTGCGTTGAGTACCGTTAGACAGATTGGGGAGCTTTGTTATTGCCCCCATCTTGGTGCCCATATTGGGTTATGGTTTTCGAGTTATTTATCATAAATAAACGGCCTGAAATAGTCCACTACTTTAAGTGGATTGTCTTGTATTTTTCCCACCAAGTTCAACAAGCCGAAGTCAATAGTTTTTAATTTTTGTTTGCTTTCGTTATTTCGACTCTTTTCAATAGGTTACAAAGGTATCACTAACGATCTCATTAAAAAAGAGCAATTTAATGCATATAAGACTGAATCCGGTATTAATGCAACAACGTCTTGGCTCTTCGAAACCAATGTAACCTGGACAACACCAGTGGCAACTCAGCCTGGTAAGTAGACGTACATGTACGTCAGTTACATTTAGTGACGTCATACAAGTGCGGATTGGAAATAGTAGAGCTTTATCAATTGCTATTTGATTATGTTTAAACTAACCCTAATTCTAATACATAATGTGTATAATTGTTATTGTGTTTGTATACTTATATAATACATTTTTAATATGTTGTTTTAGGGCACAGTATCGATCGTTATTTACTAGAAATTCAACGGGTTCCGCTCAGCAACACCTTACCCACGGTATATGGGAATTGTGGAATAGAGGTTACCGATGATGATATAATCACCGTAAGTTTTCTCAATTTTAACGAGTGGCAAAATAAAGAAAAATACTCCATCACACATTATAGTTAGAATGTTTGCGTTAAGTAAAATTAATTGTGTATGCTGACATGTTGTAGGTGATATATTACAGTTTATCGTATGTCATGTGACTACATCCGACCAATAACATTTTATTTCAGAACAATACTTGGTACATATTTGAAAACTTGGCTTACAAGGAGTTGTACTCTTTTCGCGTGAGTTGTTGTTTACGTTTTTTGTTTTTTCCCCCTTTGGACCTATTTTAAATAAAGGGCACTGATCAACTTTAAGTGCTCGGTTCGTATACGATAGTTTTAAAGATGTAGGTGAATTCAAAGTTTAATTTGTAATACACTATGAAATTAGTGTAGTAATAAAAAAAAATAAGAATCACATTGTATAATATAATGATAACAAAAGGCCTAATAGAAATAATATGCCTAAAAAAGTGTTATTTTCTTCAATAGATTTAATTATTTAGAAAGTAATTCAAATACATAATGCAATTTTAATATTAGAACCGCAACCCCCCACCCCCACCGAAATAAAAAGAAAGTATTAGCTGGTGTTGTTATTTATATGTATAAACTAATTCCTTCATGGTATCATGTTGTCATTATGATTAATTCTACTATTGTACTTAATTTTATATTTTTTCATGTAGGTATATTTTATAGAACTAGGTACAAGCACAAGAGGTCAACCAAGCGTACAAAAAATCATTCATACGGAAGGTAAGCATATTGATACTATTTTTATTACATAAGGTTCATTTTCTTAGATGAATAAAATTAGACAAAACTTACAATTATTTCTACGAAAATAAGAACGAATAATTAAAATTGTCAGTGCGACGACAGTGCGTCAGAATCAAGTTTAAAAATTGTGAGAGCAAGGCCAACCAAACCTGTTTAACATGTTTCAAAATAACTATCGCTTTTACAGATTGCTTCAAGTTGACTCGCGATGGAGAATTTTGCACGAAACAAGGTGAATGCCCCTAAATCTATTTATTATATAACATTAAAGAGGAATTTGCGAGTTTAAAAAAACAATTCAAACTTAGTTTTATCTCGGGACTTTGAGTTGTCTTGTGTGTGTGACAATGTGGGTGTGTATTTATCAAGCTGTAGATTCGTATACGTTTCACATTCAACACAATTTGTTGTTATTTTTAAAGGCGTTAGGCTCAGTGGAGAGATATTAGATTTACGTGTCGAAAACATCACAATAAATAGAGATATGGAGACGGTGACAGCATTTGTATCCTGGATTCCGCCTGTGCACGTGGCAGAGAATGGCTCACTCTCTAGGTATATTTACTCCTACTCGGGAAAGATTCATAAAGTCACAAGCTCAAGTTTTGTGGAGGTTGGTAAAATTTTCATTTACAAAAGGCGCCTATTATTATAATGTATGATAGATAAGTTCATATTTAAATATACATGTAAGAGAGTGCTCAATCGTGAATTGTATGCTGTTGATAATGCTGCTTTTAATTGACTTGGTTTCGACAAACTGGGATTCATGGTTTTTGACTCGGCTGGCATTCGCCCAACTGGGTTTCGACAAAGTGGACTCGGCAATCTGGCATTCGGCAAACTGGGTTTAACCAATCTGGTATAGATCCTTGTGTACAGTAGTTATAATTATTTTATGTTTATAACTTTTATATTTTTGGTTAGTATGTTATTTACTGATAGTAAAACTGTGACAATATAGAAATAAACCACCATTCAATTACTATACGATGATAATAAACAATAATCACCAGTGGAGGTGTTTCTCCATACGCAAAAGTTATTAGGTATCATCTGTATTACTGGTATTTCAAATGACCATTTGCATTACAAAACATTACATTACTAAACAACTTCCGATTAAAAGTGTTGTTAAATTTTATGCTTTTATTACAGGCTGGGAAAACATCGCATTGGTCTCATAGGCAGACTTTAAACATCTCTAACCTACTACTTGATGAAACCTATACGTTTTATGTAAGTAAACTGTATCATTATCATGATTCACGTCATCACTATCATCATCATCATAGGTAAGGTAAGGTAGGAGAATAACCCACATCGTCATTGTGCTAAATTGCGTATGGGCGTCATCTGTGACTACCTGCGGCTGTAAAGAGGCGCTTAAAGTAACTACATGCACATCACTCCACAATGGCAACAAGTTTAACTATTGTGTGGTGTGGGATGGGCGACGGTGTTTGTGGTTGCTGTAATATTGTTAATATTATTGTTCATTTTTCTTAATAGAATAACTACAAGTAGTAGGGCCTAGGCCTACTTTTTATTGTATTCTTTTTTTTTCTCATATAACAAGATGCAGCCGATTGTTGTAATTGAGGGTCAAGATTACCTTACGTCAGATACGAAGACACAGATGCAGTTCAACGCCTCACCAGGTGAATAAAATTATTGTTCGTATTCTTATTATTATTGTTATAAAACGATTTCCTCAATGCATAAAGTATGTTATTAAAATGTAATATGTAAATATAATACGGTATTGTTTTAATTAATATTTTTATCTATCTACATAATATATATGTAGATAATTTTTGTATTATTATTTTTAACAAGGCAATGTTAATATGTTTTAAAAGTCTTAAATTTGTTGCAATTTTAATTGGTTAGATGTGGGAATCTGGACGGAATGGAGTTATTCATCAATGTGTGAATTACCGTGTGAGGGCGTTCAGAGTCGAGCAAGGGAATGCTATCCTATGTACGCCAACTGTTCGGGCGAAGGCTCGGATATCACTAATTGCTACAACGCTAGTGAATGTACAACCAGACAGGGTGCGTATATAATTCTGATAATACTGGTCATTGTCTTCATTTAGATGTTTCTAATTGGACAAAACAACTGAACTCAGAATCTACCTCAAATTAGCAAGTCTCCAAAGTGGACTTGAATTAGAGGACGAAGTCATGAGATAAGAGATAAACGCTAAATAGACTTGCGGTAATGCTATAAAGAACATTTTAACATTACCTCAAGACGGTTTGGAGTTTATCTCTATTAGGCCCCTATATCATGATACATTTATAAAAGCATCTATTCGAAGATCTCGTCTTGTCGTCAAATGCTTTCTAAGAAGCGGGCGTATCGTATTGATCTGTTATTGCCATGCATCAATGAATATTGCTGTCTAACTACGCATACGGATGAGTGTGAAGAATTAGATGCTTTATCGGATTTGAATTCCCAACAAAGCCTCAATGGTTTGGTTGCTTAAAGCGTCTGCATAGACAGCAGAATGTGCCGGGTTAAAATCCCGTTTGGGGCAACAATTTTTTCACACTCACAGATTCCTCTTCTTTAATAACATTATATTCATATATATATATATATATATATATA